AAACAAACAAAAGAAAATCCTTTCTTTCTCTCAACATGGTATTGTAAACACTTTTCACAATGTTACCTGTCTTTGGTGTCAGCACTGCCACAGGAGTATCCTGTCCTTGCTTCCCTCCTAACTGTCTCTCACTTGCCCCTTCTCAGACTCATGTGGCCAGAGATTTATTGGTTAAACTATTTATTGAGGACCTAACAATGATCAGACAGTGAGGAAGACATCAAGGATGACCAACTCATGGTTTCAGACCCAAGTATCTCTCTCTCTCTCTCTCTCTCTCTCTCTCTCTCTCTCTCTCTCTCTCACTCCCCCCCCTTTAAAAGATCTGTCGCCCAGGCTGGAATGCAGTGACACGATCCCAGCTCACTGCAGCCTCCGCCTCCTGGGTTCATGCGATTCTTCTGCCTCAGCCTCTTGAGTAGCTGGGACTGCAGGCATGTGCCACCACACCCAGCTAATTTTTTTTCATATTTTTAGTAGAGACAGGGTTTCACCATACTGGCCAGGCTGGTCTCTTAACTCCTGACCTTGTGATCCACCCGCCTCAGCCTCCCAAAGTGCTGGGATTACAGACATGAGTCACCGCGCCTGGCCAAGACTTGTTTTTCTTACTCTGCTTTATATTTTAGTTATTTACTTGTCTTATGGATTATTGTTTTGTTGGTTTCTAATTACCTTGCAAATTCATATTACCTTTTACCCTGGAGTTGAGAAGGACCTGACATTCAATAATGTTTCTTTAGAACCCTTCCAGATGTCTAAGACATTCTACCCCAATTCAAATGACTTGTTTATCTATGTGTCTAGCATTATTTCTTCAGAATTACTTTTACACCGTCACTTTCTTTTGATTTGACCAATGCTTCTTTTGCTCTTCAAACTTTGCTTCTGAGTAACCAAGCACCAGCCACTAGACTACCCCACACTGTTCCATCTGTTCCCTTGACTGGTTTCTAAATTATTTCTGAAACTAATAAATGGAACTGAGTGGCCATTCTATAAAGAGTACTATAACAGATTCTTTAAGGACATCCAATTATATATATATATATATATATATATTTCTTCAAGGCTGGGTGCGGTGGCTCACACCTGTAATCCCAGCACTTTGGGAGGTCAAGGTGGGCAGATCATGAGGTCAAGAGTTTGAGACCAGCCAGGCCAGCATAGTGAAACTTCATTTCTACTAAAAAATACAAAAATTAGCTGGGCGTGCTGCTGGGCACCTGTAACATATGTAACTATTTGTAATATATGTAACTATTGATAAATAAGAAATATTATAATGTGCAAAGACCCAACTTTCAGTTTCCTGTTATTTTCAATTCTTAGCCAAAGCTAGAGTTTTTAAAGATCAAAATTTTACTCTACTTCCTTTCCAACTAGTCCATTTACATTCGAAAGATATCGAGAGTATTAGAAAAGTACTTTGAAACAAAAATTTTATATATAATTTCAAAAGCAAAAAGTAAGCTGGAAACTAGGTGGCCACCAGGTAAAGCATGTTACCATACACCAATCTTTAACTTAGAAGCAAGTGTTCTTAGATAAAATAATTGACACTAAGCTATTATATACTATAGAGTGTAAAAGGCTTTACAGTTTAAATAATATTTCAAATGCCAAAGGACTGAAAAAATCAAACGACAGTCACATTCCAGTTTTATGACATAATCCTTCAGATATAACAGACTTTCAGCATATTACTTGAAATTAAAATAATCTGTAAGTGAGGTTTAAAGAATGTAATTTTATTTGAAAACCTAATTCGACAGGATCATCAATAAAAGCACTCAAGGAGTAGCTACAGTCCGTTCTTTTCACTTGAGTCCCAGCTGTATTTGCTTTAAGCATCAGACTCTCTGGCAACACCATAGCCTTTGACTCCTGTGAGTTGAGGAAAGGCTTTATGAGTCATGTGTTTTTTCTAGAGATATTGAGCTCTCAGAATTATTAACTACAGAAAGAGTAAAAGTCAAAACTCATTCAATAAATTCCAATGTGCTCAGATTGAGAGAACAGGTGCCTGAACACACATCTGAAGAATAACTTAGAGAGGATGCTTTCCAACTCGGCTGCGAGCCTCTGACTAAGCAGTCCTGGGGATCTCAATTACGACCACAGAAGAACACAGGCAACACTGGGTGGACCAGAAAAATCTCTTAGGTTCATCATTCATACTGAGAAAACTGACTTCAAACCTTATTTCCAGCTGCAGTGGTGATTTAGAGATACAGAACTGCCATCTAGTGACTAAGAAGGAAAAAGCAAGGACTTTACATGAAAAATATTTTTTTTGTTATAACAAAGCACTAAAGTTAGTAAAATTAACACAACTTAGCACATCAAAGTTCTAGTAAAACTTCAAAACATGCAAGTGAACTAATATGCCTATTTGCATCTATAATGTATCTTGACATCTGACTCATACATGGTATAATTTAAATAGAATAAATTTAAAATAAACTTCTCATCTCATTTGTCTGATGACTTTGGCATGAGATAGTCCTAAATAGCATAGAGTGATTACCCATGTAAAAGTATAACTTTTATTGTAAGTATAAAATCAAATGGATGTATACTCGAGTAGTGGGTCTACCCTTGATCAAGTTTGTGATCTTATGCAAGTTACTTTTACGTCCTATAATCACTTTCTTTAGCAGTTAAATATACATTATAATAAAGGACTATTGTAAAGATTTTATAAGGTAGTAGAGTAAAAGAACAGGTATACAGTAGGTTAACAATTAATTTGAGTTTTCTGTATCCCCTTTATGGCCAATTACTTTAGGTTGTCACAAAACATACCCGTATCATCTAAGAAAAGATTCAGCCCATAAAATGAATGTATGACAAACAGTAAATGATTCCAAAAGTAAGCGATGTCATTGTCGGGTGCTTAATCTCGATAGCTTCCAAATACTGTTACCTCTCAATTAATTTTCCTGACTTCTAGACATTCGACCCTCAACAAGGATAAGATGTAACATTGATTCAATCTATTTCACCCTTGAGTCTTCAAGTTGTAACATCAAGTGCTTTTAAATAACCTACTCCATTAGGTTTCCTGCTTATTGCAATATATTTTACCATGGTCCATAGCTCAGAAAAAAACACTCTATAATGTTACACACGTGAATATTATTGTGAAATAGCATAATATGGAAAGCAATGTTGTACCTGTTTTGTCACTGTTGATATTATCAAATACTTCCTGTCCAGGTTTTCTTTGACATTATCATATAGAACAATTCATTCATATGCATCCTGGACATAAGAATGTAGAAAAACCTAATATATTCCTTTAAATCACAATTTACCCATGCTTTCCACTAAAAAAAAAAAAAAAAAAAAAAAAAAGGCTAAAAAAATGAGAGAAGATTTGAAGGTACTATTTTTCTTAATAATTGCTGACTTTACTATTTCTTTGTAACTTTTTATCTTTCTTCATCTTATTCGCTGTGGGCTAATCACTGCAAATAATTAAGTAACCATGAGTTGAGCCCACCATGCCTCTCAAGTGGTGCCAAGTTGATGTAGGCCTCTGCTCCCATAACAATAAACTGGAAAAATGTGCCTTTTAAATGCACTGTCCTTAAGGATAGCTAATCTAGCTGCACTTTTGAAAAGCACCCAGGTGCCTGCAGTGAAATGAGAAGCAAAAAGAAAAGCATCCAGGTGCTGTTTTCAACCAATGTTTATCCCAATTTCTCCTCCAGGGGGAGCGTGACTTTCATGTATAACGCAGGGATTCTTTTCAAAAGGGAAGTCGGTCACTCTATGCTTTGATCAGCAATTCTTTAATTTTACAGAGAAGAACCCTATGTCCCAGGTAATCTAAGCATGTCGTCATCACACTCACCAGAAATAGATCCGGGTGTAAAACCCAAGTATGTGTCTCCTCATTTTCTCCTAGACCACCGACAGAACCGAAATCTCTTTTTACTATTCATTTCTAATAAGTTACTGTCAAAAGCATAGTTGGGCGAAAATATAAATAAATTAAGCAAATGGTTTTATATCCAAAAAAGCAATTGCTATCCACAATTACTATTCCATACAAATGTTTCCTTTCTTGTATTTTTTTTTAAAAAATAAGAAGTCCATTTTAGCATAAGAAAAAAAAGATAAAATTTGGCTTATTTGTTAACTGGTATGGTTTGGTTCTCTGTCCCCACTCAAATCTTATATTGTATTTCCCATAATTCCCACATGCCGTGGGAAGGACCCAGTGGGAAATGACTGAATCATGGGGGTGAGTCTTTTCCATGCTGTTCTCATTATAGTGAATGGGTTTCACAAAATCTAATGGTTTTAAAAACAGGTGTTTCTCTGCACAAGCTCTTTTTGCCTGCTGCCATCCATATAAGATGTGATTTGCTCCTCCTTGCCTTCTGCCATGATTGTGAGGTCTCCCCAGCCATGTGGAACTGTAAGTCCAATAAACCCCTTTCTTTTGTAAATTGCCTAGTCTTGAGTATGCCTTTATCAGCAACATGAAAATGGACTAAAACAGTAACAGGAAAAATAAAGGTTCTGTGGAAATTAAACAGATACTAATTAATGTTTCATTCCCAAAGTAATAAGAATCTTATTTGACTTTAGCAAAGCTCTGACAGATTTTCTTTTTTTTTTTTTTTTTTTTTAAAGATTATAGCCATGGAACCATTTGAACAAGCACATCTCAGCAGACTTCTCCCTGGAGCGGCCACTGTTTCCTGCTGGAGCCAGCTGTTGTTCGGCCCAACTCTTTGGCTGGATATAGAATGAAGCAGCTTCTGAAAAGCTTGTACTCAGTTCCACTTCAAGGCTGATTTTTTGTGCAAAAAATAAATGGAAGAAAACATCCCCTTCTGCCTGACAGGATTCCCCTGCAGGCTAAGGGAAAACAAGGGCATTCTAGCCAGCCGGGCAGATGGAAAGATAAATCACAGAGTCTGTCACAATCTTAAGACAAACAAGACAGACGGGACTCTGACATCTTAATAAGATGGTCTCACCTGCTGGACAGCATCCAAGCGTTTTTTTGGAGTTTCCGAAACAGCAGATTGAGACTCTAGATTGGAAAGGAAGCAGAGAGTCAGTATTTTAAAGGGCAACTTTCCTATTTCTTCTATCAGAAAATAAAACTTTCACTAAAATATATCATTAACCATAAGCACCAGAAAGATCCAGTCTCTTTTCCAATTATATAACTGGGTTATTAGGATATGACTACTTTTCAGTATATATAATACATATAATGACAACGCTCATGCCATAATTGGGATATTCCTATGCACTTCTCTGTACATCAACTACCCTTATTTGCCTCAATTGCTAGTTTCTAAATTGTGCCAGAAAGTCCTTCTAAGACTTTCACGGATTGTATTATTCACTTAGCTGAAGTCTGTTTCATGACAGAAGCCGCCTCACCAAGGTTGAAGAATGGGATCTCAAAAGCCTTGTCTAACTGTTGTCAAATTGCCTTTTGATTTCAATGAGAAATAATGAACACTGTCACCAAGAGAACCTGAGTAATAAGGGATTCTGAAGGGGTTTTTCTCTTTTAGTCCTCACGTCATTTGAGAGTCTATAAGACTGCAAATTCATTATGCTACAAAACCTAAGCCATAACCAAGTCAGGGATATTTTTTTTTCTTAAGCTAGAGGGTACTTTCTTCTAAGAGAAACTTGCATGCAAATTTAAAAATAAAACGGCCTTCAGGATAAAAATAAAAATGAAAGGGGCTTCAGGAGTCCCTCATACTCCCTGAATCAGAGCCTGAAAAAACACTAATCTCATCCATCCTCCACACTTCTCAGACGAGAAACTGAAGACCCATAACACAAGCAGTTGTTGGCAAGGTGAAGACCACTGTTGACATCTGCTGACTGTCACGTTGCTCCCCTGACTGGCATGCAGACCAGACCCTGGACGCAAGGTATGGCAGCCACTTGTTATGGTCATTTTGACATTTCCGACATAGCTGCATGGTCGCTGATGTATGCAACAATGCTACGGAAAATAAGAGGCATTTCGTATTTAAACAGCGTAGTACACTGTTAAGCTACACTCAAAGTTTTTCATTTCACTCAGATGAGAATCTGCCTCTACAGGGGCCCATGAGGCCTGGTTTCAATGACCTCTACTCCCTAGCCTCTCTACCCACCTTCATCTGTCCCAGCTTGCTCACCAGGCCAGCCACCCTGGCCAGCTTGCTTGTCTTGTAACACACCCGTCATGCTTCTTCCACAGGGCTGCCAAAGCCAGAGCGGCTGCTGCCTCTGCTCAGAGCACTGCACTCACTCTTCTTCCCAATAGCTCCAAGCCCCACTTCTGTGGCTGATTCCCGTGGGACTCTGCCTTTGTGGGCACGCAGAAGTGGCAACCTCACCCACTCCCCAGCACTCACCACACACTCGCCCTTACTTTCTTCTAACCTGGATCATCATACCGTATACTCTCTAATGTATTTGTTTGCCTACTTATTTATATCTCTTATTCCAGTAGAAGATAAACTCTGTGAAAGCAAGAATTTTTGTCTGTTTTTCTCCCTGTTGTATCCCCAACATTCAAATAGTGCCTGGTACTTAGTAAGTGCTTAAGATATTTGTTGAGTCATTGTGGGAGTGAATAAAAGAATAAATGAAAGATCAAAACAACGATTAGACCATGCAAGTGGATTCCACCATGAAAAGTGGGGTATCCTGGGCAGAGAAAGTAATGATTTTTACAAGAGATAATATAGATATTGCCTTGCCTTTAGCTATTTTCTGAATCTCAGCTAAAAGCACATATTTTAAAACAAAAATCATTGAGAATAGTGTGATGCAGTCACTTACCAATAAATGTCACAGTGGCAATAAACAATTGGCCTTAAAATACAACCATCTTCCCGAATAAATACAGTATATCATTGAGCTAATAAAAAAAAAGAGAGATTCTTCTGTCTTATACTGACACATCTCTACTCTGAACTTAATACCAGGGTTAGCTACATTTTAATAAAGATCTTTAACAGCAAAGCTATTTAACAGTTAATATTAAAGCAAATCCAAACTCCAGAACGCTCTCATTCTGTTGTTTTTTTTTTTTGTCACTTCCAAATCCTCCCAAACACAATAGACTCAAGACAAGTCTTGGCCTTGAACCAGTGGGGAAAAGTTTCTCTTCCTCTTCTATTTAGATCATGCAGTAAGAGCCTAAAGGCTCTCCCAGTAGTACACAAACAGTTCTTTACATTAGAAATGCACAAAATGCTTTCTAGCTTTTTTCTAGTCCTTGATCTGGTAAATGGACCTAAAAAAGAAACTTCTGGGCTCTGATGGTAAAGAACAAGTGCAATTTATCAGAAAAATCTACTTAGAAAGCCACGTTTATTAGCAGGATGCATCAGCAAACTACTCTGCACACCTACACCCAAACTTTCAGCTTCTCTCTAATTCAATAGCTACCTGGACTACATTCATGCTCCCATCCCTTTCATCATATTTTTTATTTGTTTGAATCTGTGTGTTAAAACATTGAAGATAAATTTATATGTTGAAATGCTGTCTTCAAAATCATAAGCTGGAAAACAGGAGTTTTAGAGGGTCAAGATTTTAAAATGAAAGACATGCACAGAATAACTACTGAAATATAAAGGGAAAATAAATGAGAACCACTGAGAGAGGACAGAAAAATACAATACAGTATAAAAGAAGGAGAAATAGAAGGAGAAAGATACAGGAGGGAGAAAGTAAAGGGAAGCATGAAAAAATGGTGAAAAGTGTCCCGCAGAGAGTGGAGAGAAATTGGTGATAAGGAAGCTCGCTTCTCAGTAATGGCTGAAGAGTGGAGTCACGAGATAGGTGTATCTGAGATATCAGCTTAGTTCCAACTTTCATAGAGCTCCTTAAATGAAAGTGATCACCCGGAACTCCCAACGCCCTCATTCCCAACACTCTCCTCCTCCCAGGATCCAGGGCACTTTCAGGAATTGCCTTAAACCCAGCTCTGGCACAAAATGACTGTCTCCATCAAATATTCATTGTTAGAATGGTTATTTTCAAAGAGTAACCCAGTGAGAGAGTGCTCAAGGATACATTTAAAACTGCCACCTCCTTTACTCATCCTTAAAATTAAGAAACCAGAATGTTCTTTTCTAAAAAAAATCATTATAAAGCAGAGAAGGAGAAAGAACATTCCTTAAAAAAAGTTAAATATTCCATTTAAAAAAGTTATCTCACAAAATTCTGAACATAATCTAAAATTCTAGACTCCCTCTGATACCAACTATGTTTCAGGAGTGATCTCTTTATCATCACAAAAAAAGCCTTTCATCCTGAAATAAAACACACCTGGATGAGCTGTGTCTTTATAGACAGAAGACAATAAAGACAATGAGCAGGATATGCCCCTCTGATAAGAAGAAAAAATAAACCAGCCCTTTAAAACATATATGCAAACTACGCATTCTAAAAATGAAGTTGTCTCTAAACAGTCAGGAATTTTAAGTAAAAATGCAGCTATATAAAATTATTATATTACAGCTTCTTTAATGGCATATACCAGTTTGATTCAAATCAAGTCAATGTAACTGAAACAGAATTCATTAAACTTCATTTAAGTAGCATGACTTATGATTGGCTGCCTAATAAATGCAAGATGTTTTTAATTCTGATATACCATTGATTTCCACAAATGAAGATGGGGTTCAACACTTACATTTTCCTCAATGGAACCAATTCCATGATCTGCTTGATTATTTAACAGTATTGAGAATCTGCCTCTCATTGTCAACAAAATATAGCCACAACCAGGTTATAGTTAGCTCAGGAGAAAATGAAGGCCAATTTTATAAAATGTTATAAAAACTATACGTATGCATGTGTATAACATATATATTACCTATAATGTATAAATTCATTATATGAGGCCAGGCACGGTGGCTCAAGCCTGTAATCCCAGCACTTTGGGAGGCCAAGGTGGGTGGATCACAAGGTCGAGAGATCGAGACCAACCTGGTCAACATGGTGAAACCCCGTCTCTACTAAAAATACAAAAAATTAGCTGGGCATGGTGGCACGTGCCTATAATCCCAGCTACTGAGAAAGCTGAGGCAGGAGAATTGTCTGAACCCAGGAGGTGGAGGTTGCGGTGAGCCGAGATCGTGCCATTGCACTCCAGCCTGGGTAACAAGAGCGAAACTCCGTCTCAAAAAAAAAAAAAAAAAAAAAATTCATTATATGTATTATATAATCTATAAATTCATTATATATTATGTAATCTATAAATTCATTCTATATTATATATAATCTATAGATTCATTATATATTATATATAATGTATAAATTCATTATATAATATATAATAAATTCATTATATAGTATATATAATGTATAAATTCACTATATATTATATATAATCTATAAATTCATTAATCATATATGTATAAATTATATATAAATATTACATAATATCTAAATATATTATAAATATTAGACATTTACATGTTGAAAATAGAGAATTGTCTTTGGGAGACAGAGTCAATCTAGTCCAGTACATTTTATTCCTTGATAAAGTGAGAAGCTCAGAGAGATAGAACTCTTATCAATTCTCCCTTGGTCCCTCATAGAATTTCTACATTATCTCAATTGAACATATGTTAAAACATTTAAACAAAACACAGAAATGGGCCAGGCATGGTGGCTCATGTCTGTAATTTCAGCACTTCTAGAGGTCAAGGTGGGAGGATCACTTGAGCCCAGGAGTTCAATACCAGCCTGAGCTATATGACCAAACTTCAGCTCTACAAAACACTTAAGTTAGCTGGGTATGGTGGCTCACACCTGTAATCCCAGCACTTTGAGAGGCTCAGGTGGAAGGATCACTTGAGCTCGGGTGGTAAAGGCTACAGTGAGCAGAGATCATGCCATCGCACACCAGCCTGAGCGACGGAGTTAAACCCTGTCTCAAAAAAAAAACAAAAAAAAAACAAAAACAAACAAAAAAAAAACCAACAACAAATGAGTCGATGATACTGTAGTTACACTGCATGGCATAGAATCTCTTTTCTTAGAAATCATTAGGGA